CATGGTAAGTAAAACCCGGTGCCTGAGAATAACTAATGAACCAAATGAATAGATTCAAATTCCGTATCCAAAACGATGTGTTCATAAATTACTTCAAACAAACGACCATCGATAGAGAATAACATGAATAATGTGGCAGAACATACCCCCACTGATCGTACGAATTGATATCCCAAATAACGCCCTGGACGAAGATTTTATGTTCGTACATGGCTACCAACGCGCCCAACATGTAGGGAGTGAGACGAGTAAAAATGATCGAGTTTGTTGGTTTATTCCCCTTGAAGCTCTTGTGAAGACTCAGTGATTCCAGTTTGTCACCAGTGACCCCAGCACTGAACAGTTCAGAATGCACCTCTTCTCGAGTCTTGCCGGTCATAAGGGCTTCAGTTTGAGCGAGGAAGTTGGATAGCAGAATCTTCAAAGGGGGAATTTTGAAAACAAATGTAGAGTTTTAGTCGATACAAGCAGCGTGGTCTTGATTTGAGGGAACTAAACATGGGAATCACCGGGGTAATTGCTAGTAAAAAATCATGCCGAACAGGTCATGTGTCTGTGTCTGGCGGGTTTATCAAAACTGTATGGCGAAAAAAGTTGTTATTCCTGTCAGATATATATATATATATTTCATGTGCGTAATGGAGGCTTTGATTCAATTTCAAAGTGGAAATCCGTCGCGTATATGGCAAATGAAGCATGAACTGAAAGGAAGCACTGGACAGCTGTTTCGACCTGGTTGGGTCTTATTAACAGTGCGAATCCATCGACCCAACTGGGGATCGAACCCGGGATCTCACAGGCAGAACGCATGCATTCTACCTACGCGGCCACCGAACAGTTGATCAGACCGTTTTTCATTTTCCATTTATATGTTATGGTACAACCCATCTTTGCGAGCTTGTTGCGGGCCACAGACCTCACTCATCTCAGTAAAATCCGAGGTTATTATTCGGTTGGAAATGATCATAACCACAACAATAGTAACAATAACGCGGAGGGAGAGGTTGGGATACAGAGCATTTGTCAAGATGTCATTTTATCAGCGGATAAGAGTAATGCGAAACTGCACAAAACAGAGTAAGAAGAAAAATTGGGTGGACTCATCGGTGATTTGGAGACACACCAACCGGTCACAGGAAACCCAAGAAACATCTACGAAAACGGGTGACTAAAAAGCCCACAGAAATCAAGACAAACAACAAACTCAGTGAAAAAAATACCAACATATCAAACCTACGGAGGGTACCATCCCGCGGATCTGCTGACTATCGACGGTGCATTAAAATCGGCGTACCACCAAGACTAATCGTTTCTCCAACAACGGCTCCCAGATAGTTTCAGTTTTCAGTTAGTACAACCATTAACCACGCACATTCGTGCACCGGTTTTGGATGCTGTCTTTTGGTTGCCCATTTGGATGAAGAACAGGAGAAGAAAGGAAAGTTAAAAGTGGAGTTGAACAGAAAACGGAAAAGTTCAGTGGTCT